CTTCAATCTTTCTGAAAATGTACTTTCTCCTTCTGAGTCGATTCTCCAGAATAGAAAAAAGAATTGTAAAAAGGGATAAATATCCTTAGTTTAAAGATTTTGATGTTTCTTTGTGAAGATATAATATCCCTGTACAACCTAGAAAAAGAGAAAATTGTTAAATAAATTCATACTGTATCACCCTTTGTTCTTCTTATTCAGATAATTTCCGGGGCTGATTTCTAAACATTGACAGATCAAGGATAGAGAGATGTCAGAAGGATAGATGACAGACTGAATTGGAGCTCTAAAAGACATTTTTGACCTAAGAACCTTATTTCAAGTATTTTCGTCGAGGACGTCATTCAAAATTGTCCTGGCATTGATAGGCGCTCAATTTCTATTTCAAAACTCAAAAATAGTCAACTTTCAGTCTCAGCGTTCACACTCATTCCGACAAAATTAAGAAAAATATAGTTTTTAATTCTCACTTTACAAATTTTACATTATGGGAGGATTCACGACGACATTTCTTACATTATGCGAGGGGGGGAAACTGAATTCATTATGAACCACTGAATTATTTTAAAATTATACTCAGGATTTCTTATATTAAGAAAAATAAAGTTTTTGATTCCAGCTTTTTTACATTAAACCCTAATCCCTAATTTATTATAAATTATACTCTTGAGTTCTAAAGAAAAATATAGTTTTTGGAGATCCAAATAGCGGTGGGTTGAATCCAATACACAGAATAAACCAACCATACTTTTATATTTATTTAGTATCTTAACCAATGGTTTCAAATTGAGGATCTTTATCTGCGGGATTTTATCGAGTGTGAATCCATGCTCAATCCCCAAAAGATGTGTTGACCTGCATGCAAGATTATATCGAGGCTCAGGAGTTAGAGGTACCAGTTACGTTTCCCAAACACTCACGCTCTAGACCCTTACATTTCTTAATTTAGGCAACACTGGTCTCATCTGGGTGGATCAGTGGCTAGAGAATTGTTTGGGCGTCAAATGCTTCGCCTGGACCCAAGCCATTCTTTATATTCAAGACAAAATCAAACCGTTGGGACATGCTGTACCCTGTCCCCTAGTCCCTATAGAACAATCTGTTTGGAGTGTAAACCTGCCCCCCCCCAAAAATTTAAAATTGCTCGCGCCTTAAGAGAACTTTTAATGTTGGCACCCAACACTTTTTACAGTGCCTTTAGTATCATGGCCAAAACCCTACTTTATTTAGACAGAAGAGAAACCAGCATTATTGATCATCGCAATACAAACATATATATAATCCAAAGCATTGCTTTAGGTAATATTTTTCGCGTGGTAGCCTTTGAAAAGGAGCAACTCTGGGCCCTGATTTAACCTCATCTAACCCGGGAAAATTAATTGCAGAAAACATGCTGAATGAAGAAGAGTTAGATTTAGCTTTGGCGGACTATCTGACGGAAAATGTTAGTGTCACCCATAGCTTTCAACGATAGGCACATTCACCAGGTCGTGAACGAGCCCGTCGCCTTTAAATTCGCATTAGCTTCAACACAAATTTTGAGTCTGTCGTTGTACCCCATATCCTAGCTTTTCCCCAGGAAGAAATAACCATAGCTATAGGTAAATAAATTTATTCTCATAGAGTTGGCACACTAATAATTCATTTTTAGGCTACGATGTCGTGCTTCGTCATGTTGAACATGCCACCTTCTCAATCTTCAGGTACAGGATGTCACACAAAACATGACTGTATGCAGGACGACTTAAATGTCGTCTTGATTTTTGATATAATTTGCTGCGTTTATTTGTCAACCTAATTTTAGAAGTAAATTTCTAGAGATAATAATCACAAAATTTCCCTTGTCCTGCCATTTCCAAAATGTGGTCTGCCTTTTTTGTGCTTTCAATATTGCCCGAGATATGAAGAATTTCGTTCAGATTTCGACAATTTTGCTTTTATTTAACAAAATTGAAATCTGAACCAAACTCTTTATATCTCCGGTAATATTGAAAGCACAAAAAACGCAGACCACTTTTTGGAAATGCCAGGGCTAGGAGAATTATGTGATAATTGTTTCAAGAATCATACATGTTAAAGTAGATAGAAGACTAAATGTCACAAATAAATTCAAATACCAAAGACGACTACTTCTTCCTATTGTCATGTTTCGTGGGACACCCTGTATATTGCGTTTATTTGTCAACCTAATTTTAGAAGTAAATTTCTAGAGATAATAATCACAAAATTTCCCATGTCCTGCCATTTCTAAAATGTGGTCTGCCTTTTTTGTGCTTTCAATATTGCCCGAGATATGAACGTTCAGATTTCTTTTGCTTTTATTTAACAAAATTGAAATCTGAACCAAACTCTTTATAGCTCAGGTAATATTGAAAGCACAAAAAAACGCAGACCACTTTTTAGAAATGCCAGGGCTAGGAGAATTATGTGATAATTGTTTCAAGAATCATACATGTTAAAGTAGATAGAAGACTTCACAAATAAATTCAAATACCAAAGACGACTACTTCTTCCTATTGTCATGTTTCGTGGGACACCCTGTATATAATCAACCAGCCTAGTAGCCCTAGTAATGTGTGTCTAATGCAGGGCTCATCTGAATCAACGGACCAATTTACGCTATGAACTCAGCAACAGCATGGGGGATATTCATCGATGGTATCGAGCACTGAATCACGCAGATCTTCTGGCTGAATATCTTCAGCTTTCATTTGACCTTGATCATTCAGGGGTAGTGGTAAACCGCGTATTGGCTGTTTGTCTATTAATTGAATAATTTTTCAGATTTTCGACAATGACCACCCCTAAAAGGTAGATAAATCCGCTTCTCTAAACCAACCACCCCTTTTTAATTTATAATAAGGGGAAAGCCAATTGCCACCTGTCACTCTTATTTCCCGCTTAGTTATTTCACTGCGTTTAATCCCTAAAGGTTGCGGGAATTTTAAGGCTCGATCTTTCACCCACTTTATATTTAAAATCTTTAGCTTGAGCGGTCAGCAAAGGTGCAGAAATGTTTTGATTTACTTTTAATTCTAAATTTAAAAAATTTGGCTAAATTTACGTCAATGGGAGCTAGTTTACCCAGTAAAATGGGGCGGGCATTTAAATATTTGATCACTTTCGGTAGATTTTTTTTCCAACTTTTTTGAATATGCAAACCAGCCTGACGTGCATAGGCAGCTAATTTAGTCTTGATGGTACGAATATAGCGCTCTGCCATATAGGCATGTTTAGGGGCTCAGATCAATTTTAAATAAGGTTTTTTTAATTTCAGTTTTAAAGCCTTGATATTTTTAACCAATAGGGCTGCTTCACCATCTGAAACCACAGTTCGGGTATAAGGTTGCGTCTGGAGAAATTTAACCAGCACCGGCTCCAACTGAGACCAGGCTTTACCACTGATCGGTTGAGCAAAGACCATCCCAGACAACTCGTTGACCCCTAAACAAAATGTGCCATTTGTTGTTTGTTTTAGCCTGTACAACAAAACATAAAATTTCATATTTAATGCTCCTTTGTCATTTTTTCGCCAAATTACAGGATCTTTTTGGGTTGGTTTAACAAAACTTTTTTTTCTAAATTACAGGGTGTTTTTCAAGACAACTCATTGACCCCTAAACAAAATGTGCCATTTGTTGTTTGTTTTTGCCTATACAACAAAAAATTTCATAATTATTTAATGCTCCTTGGAGCTCCTTTCGCCAAATTACAGGATCTTTTTGGGTTGCAAAACTTTAACTTTACAGGGTGTTTTTCAAGAACAAATGCAAAACCGGCCGGGCAAAACAGCGGGCGAAACAGCGGGCGAAACAGGCGGGTGAAACAGGCGGGCAAAACAGGCGGGCAAAACCAGATCTTCTGAGGTATTTTTTTATTTTTTTTTAAAAAAGCATAAAATTTTTTATTCTTTTAAAAAAGCATAAAAATTTTTATTCTTTTAAAAAAGCATAAAAATTTTTATTCATTAATTTTAATTAGGTTAAATTAAAGCTGAACAGGACGTATGGCTTTACTCTGTTAAAAACAGGTAATTTTAAAAAAATTAAAACATAATTTAAAATTTTTTTTTTTTTTTTTTAATTTTAAAATTTTAAAAATTTAAAAATTTTTTTAATTTTTTTAGACACCCTGCATACACCCTATGTTCAAGAAAAACTTTACTCTGCTAAAAATATTCTACAGCTAGCTAATCGACCTGGCGTTATAGGCTATGAACGAATGAATCCAACGACTTATAAAGTTATATCTAAATCTGTTCCAATTTTTAATTTTTCTGAATCTGTCACACCACTGGCTGCTGTTGGTGCCACCATTCTTATGCATTCTAAAATTATACTGTTAGAAAATATTCATTTTCTCCTCTCGCACCTAGATCCCCACAAAGCTGAACTTTTGTATCTTGACACCGATAGTTGTTATTGGGCTGTGCGTCATAAAAATCTAGCTGATAATGGAGCCCCTCATATGAAAAATAGTTATGAACAATACAAAAATTCCTATGTAGATTCTACTACTTTATTAGCGGGCTATCTTATCACAGAACATATTGCACACAGCATGTGTATTTATGGGGAAAAAATGTATAAACTACATTTTGACTCACAAGATCCAGAAGTTCATCTTAAAGGAATCAAAAAAGGTTTGCACAAAGAATTTAAAGATTCCACACATTCATTATACGCCAAAGATAAAACTGTAATTGTTCAATCCGGTTTTCGACGACAGGCAGGCGGTGGTGTTCATTTAATCACTGAAACTAAACATATTTTAAATGTTGTCCAACCTAAAAAAAGATTTTTCATCCATAGTCAGCACAGTTATACTTACTAATTTTTACAGAAAAAATGAAAACTAAAATCATCGTTAAAAATAGAAACTTCAAAATGAGTCTCATCATGCAACAGAATTTAAAAAAGTTCTTGCGTAGAATCCAACTAAACACCATACAGCTATATCAATCTGAGTGCACAGGTCTATACATTTTTTTTTCTTCTATAAACGTAAATTAATCTCTGTTTGTTTAGAAATTGGAATAGATAACATAATTGAGTTCCTAGTGGCCGAAATCAGGGCCAAAGTTGACTATCAGCTAAGAAAACAAAAATGTAGAGGACCCTACAGAAGATATATTTTAGGACTCCTAAATGTTTATTGCCACTTATCAGCTGTATGCTCTTATGAATCTAACGAAGAAGGACAACTTGAATGTATTTTTTGGCCCACTTGCTTCTTGCTTCCTGGTCCACAAGATCTATCTCACAATGTCAACAAATTTTTTGTATTTTAATAAATTTTAGAAAAATGAATCAACCCACTAAAATCATAATTATTGATCAAGGCTCTCCTATTCCTAACCATCTATTATCCATGATCACAGAATTATTAAAAAGTCTTGTAGTCGCTACAGAAACTTTAGCCACCAATGATTGTTCAGGTAAATGATAACAAATAAAAAATATATCTCTTAATTTTTTCTTTTTCAGTGGCTAATCTAGTAGAGATGAATGGTGTGATGAGTGATAAATGTTTAGCAGCTTTAGCTAATCTGCTAACCACGCTAAATATTGAAACTACTCTCAAGAAAAGAATTAATGAACTTATTGATGTTCATTGTGAATTCTCAGCTTTTAATTCCTATCATTTAATTGCCAATCAAATTTATTATCGTAAATTTTGGCCTGTCTGTATTTTGTTATGTAATGATTAAGTTTTTCAGAAAAATGGCCTTCTATACATTTCGACCCGCTTCTGTTCTGATACCGTATGTAAATAATCCAATCGCCATCTTTCCATTCTATCTACTCATACAGGAATGTCAGGACAACTTTCAATTAAAAACTTTTCTCCAACAACATCTTTCTTCTGACAACTTAACCATTTTTCTTCTTAAATAACTAAAAATTCAGGTAATGACCTTCCTACATCAAAAAATTCTTTTATAATTTCTCTGTTTTAGATCCATGCCTCTGTAGATTTACAAGTCAATGCTATGATAGGTTTACCAAACATTCCATATCGAAGAAATTTTAGTTCTTTTCTCTCCAATCCCGACTTTGACTTTCAATTCCAATTTCTAATATTTTTAAATCCCTACTCAAATCAACAGCTTTATGTAACACAAGCTCTTCAACAACATGGCGAAATCGAAAAAATTTATTTTGCCCAGGTATTAATTCAAATCATTTAAAATTAACAAGGAATTAATTCTTATTATTTTTAGAATGGAATCTCCTGTCATGTCATCTTTAAACCCAATCCTAAAATACAACTTTTGAAACAACTCGCCTGTGTCTACATCAACGAAGAATATTTAGTACTATTTCCTATGCATTTCAATGATAATGTACCTAATATTACAATGCATTGCTACAAAAAGTCAACTTTTTCAGAAAATATGGCGGTCTTCATGTCATCCTCTTCTTCATCTATTTCATCTTTAGAGTCATCAATGCCAAAAATGGAAGCTGGAATGTGTATCCAACATATTGACTTTCAACACTTAGAAGACACTCAAAAAAAATTATCTATTCATATGCAGCAAATTCAAAAATATATTGATTTAATTGAAGAAATTTTACAAATACAACAAGATATCAAAAGACTTCAAATACAAAAAAAGTTAAAACTACGTATGTTTCAAATTACAAATTCACAAGGCCTCAGTCCCGCTGCTCTTTAATTGATTATTTATTTCAGATCTATGATGCCAGCTCTTCATCCTACACCCTTATTCTACTCTGTTCAACCCAAATCTTCCCTCCACTCCTATCTTACTCAAATTGGGCAAGAAACTACCAACATATCAATGCATACTATTTGTACAATCATTAAAAAACTTATTATGAAAGGACAAAATTTTGATAAAAATAATCCGTCCATTATTCTCTGCAACCAACTATTAGAAAATATATTTGGTATGAAAGCTATACACGTCTCACAAGTTCAGAATGCTTTAGCTAAATCTTTGATTTCCATCAATAAAATAGATATAGAATCTACCATTCAACCCACTAAAATTGAAAAATCAAATAATAGATATAGATTATCAGATCATTTACGAGAGCTCTTCATTGCCTCTGGAATTATGAACCCCAACAAACAATTCTTTACCTATCAAGAAGCAGCAAACTTTTTTTCAGCCTATATTATTGCTAACAAAGATTATATCCTAGATTCTCGTAACATAAGTGTTGCCATCATTAAAAATGATCCTCTAGCTAAAATTTTTAAAGTTAAAGCGTTTCATTGAAATCAAGTTTATCGATTTTTAAAACCACATTTATTTCCTTGTGATGTACAACCACTGAAAAAAAAGAATGTTAAGAATATAAATTTTAATAAATATTTTTTCAACCGTTTATTATTATCATATAGAGAGCATATAAAAAACATACAGTTAATATAATCAACTAATCATAAGTAAAAAAATTATTATGAAATTTGCCCGTCACCTTAGACAACCTCATGACTCATGCATAGTGAAGTTTACCAGGTAACTAATTATCGGAGCATTATACCAACTAATATTTTTTAAATATATTTTTGAATTTGCCGACTATGAATATTAAGGGTGTGAAATTTTAAAACTTTGACAGTGCAGAACTGGAAAAATATTCATTTGGGTTTATAAGAAATTATTATGATAAATTTTTTTATCAAAATTTTTTATTTACCCTCTGATATGTCTTTTAAATTTGAAGAAAAAACTTTCTCTGAAAGTTTCTATATTTTGAAGACGACATTTATAAAATGCGTCTCCCGGGAATCTGACCAATGAGAGGCCAGTATTGTGTACACTAAGAACTCTGCAAAATAAAAACAAAAGAAATATTTTATGGTTTTAATCATTAAAATCAAATATTCTAGTCAATACTGTGTATTTAGCTAAATGAAAGGAAAATAATTTAGACAAGTAGAAGTTAAATGATTGTTTTTTTTTAATTGTTTAACTCTCTAATGTTGTTTTTTATCTGTATAACAAGTTAAAGTGCATTGAAGTTAGGCAATTTTTCAGATGATCTCAAACTAAACAATTAAGTAAAAATGCCACCAAAGCTCAGATTAGAGGCTTCTGAATTTGATCCAGTTGGGGAACCTCTTAAGGGGTTTAGACCTCCAACACTATTAGAAATTTTAAAACTCAGAAATTTCTACAAGAATCAGGATTTCAACTTAAAAAATAGGGATCTAGCTGAGAAAGTGTACCCTGAAACATTAGCTCTATGGCAGAAAGTTCATTGCTCCCTTCCTCTAAGAACTAAAGCATCAATAATCAACCAACTTATTGAGCACTTCACCAAGATTGATAAATGCAGACAAGGAAGAGCAAATGTTCATTTGCTAGCTGGTGTCAGGAGCAGCTTGAAGAAAGTTTTTAACTTTACTACCTGCAGATGTAAACTCCCAGAAGTTCTCTGTAAAAAGGCTAGCTGTGAGAAGAATCCAGAAGAACACAATCACATATTTTGTTGCTGCCCACAGAACAAGGTAACCCCCCACTTTCCAATCATATTACATATTACAGATTGATAAACTGTCAATGATAAAAAGTAATTTCATTCATTTAATAAATCATATTTTAGATTCCAGAATCTGAAAGAGTTTATTTGAAGGCTCTTTTGGATGAGGATGGACCTTCTGACAAATACATGTTTGGAGCAGTTGATAAAGAGGAGACTAGAAAGGGCCAAAATAAGAACAAGAGAATTGAGAAAATTCAGATCAGATCAAGAGATGACCTCAGTGATCAGTTTGTACAGTTAGAAGGTTGTGATAACTACATTGAAAATGATAACAGTTCTGACTTCAAGAAAAAACTTCCATTTAACTATAACACTCTCAAACTTCCAACTGTTGCAATGGAAGCTGACAGGGGACATGGCAGTGATACATTTGTGGCAAGCATTGTCAATGCAACCTTGATAGATCTAGGTCTGCTTACCAAAGATAATCAGGATATTGTTGTAACAAGACACAAAATAAGGACAGCAAGAAAAATTAAAAGAGAGGAAATGAGAAAAAAAAAATAGAGAGGAGAACATTGGACAAATATCTTGTTTGGGGTTTGATGGAAAAAAAACACAAACCTTGACAGTAACTGAGGAGAAGAAGAGACAAAACATGGTTCAGGACCATTATACCTTTACTAACAGTGCTGGAAAATATCTTGATCATGCAACAATAACAGCTGCCTCAACAGGGAAAAATATTGCAGTCATGATACTGGAAGTTCTTGATAAATATGAGTCTAGAGATACTCTTAAAGCACTAGCTTGCGATGGAACAGTAACTAACACTGGGAGAATATCAGGGGCTATGTTCCTTGTCGAGAAGGAAATCCAAAGAAATGTGCATTGGCTAGTTTGTTTGCTGCACATGAATGAGCTTCATCTTAGGAATGTGTTGTTGATTTATAAAACTAAAAAGATAATCCTCTTAAAGAACTGTTTCCATTCCCTAGCTTAAAATATAATTATAACCTTTTATCAATAATTTTAATGTACATTGAACTAATCAACAAACTTGAATACTTTGGTGATTCGGTGCTATGGAAACGCCTCAACACGGAATCGGACCCTAAAAAAACGGAAACCTCCCCAAAATGAATTTTTTTGAGGCGTTTCCTGTTTTTTCAAAAATTATCGGAAATCCCTCAAATCCAATTTTTAGATGAATTTCCCGTTTTTTTTGATCCGTTTCCTCAATTTTTAGGTCGGATTCCGGTTTATCAGGATCTTATATTGTTGAGGGATTTCCCAATATTTTTGAGGGATTTCCCAATTTTTTCGATCCGTTTCCTCATTTTTTGGGTCCGTTTCCGGTTTTCAGAAAAAATTTTAAATTCTCAGTTTGTTGATCGGTTTCCTCTTTTTTTGGGTCCGTTTCCTCTTTTTTTGGGTCCGTTTCCGATTTTCAGAAAAAGTTGTAAATTCTCAGCTTGTTGATCGGTTTCCTCTTTTTTTGGGTCCGTTTCCTCTTTTTTTGGGTCCGTTTCCGGTTTTCAAAAAAAGTTTTAAATTCTCAGTTTGTTGATCGGTTTCCTCTTTTTTTGGGTCCGTTTCCTCATTTTTTGGGTCCGTTTCCCGTTTTCAAAAAAAGTTTTAAATTCTCAGTTTGTTGATCGG